TAATGGTTGCCCATTGAAGATGATAGGACACAGACCCGAGATTAGTCTCATAAGAGGCAATGGGTGGTCTGGCCGTAAACACTTGCAAAGGAAAGGGATAAAACTACCACCATTCGATTCGTTTCAGTGAGACGATTCCAACAAGCTATGATACATCTTTGTACGATTATTAGATGCCAAGTTATTTAATATATTCTTTATATAACTGTGATTATAAATGGTTCTTTTTAATATAAGATTTTTGAGGATAGGTGTGATAGTGACTATAGATAGATTGTGACTATATAGGATAGATTTTAATAATAAAGTGTTTTGAACATTCAACTGGTGTGACTATATAGTAGAATGTGACTATAATGGGAGTGACTATAGAGGGAGTTGACTGTAATATCTTTACTAAAATTTGAATTTACTTAATAAGATAAGACTAAACTACCTCTGATTTATATATTCAAGAAAAAGAAATTGATATACATGAAAAAAGAAAAAATTTCTTTTGATATGATCATTTGATTTCAAGAAAATAGGTGGATAGACATTAACTTGATTGGAAGCATCAGTTAAAAATAAATTTTATGCAAGTGATATTTATTTAGTAATAATTTCTGGAAGACTAACAGGTATCTGCCAGCTTTTTAACATTGCAATTAATAAGCCATTCAAGAATTACCTTTAATTTACCAAGAATAGCATCTATAGATAGTAAGTGATAATGCTAGAGTAATTGCTAATGGAAACCTTTAGTATGCTAAAATAAGTGATGTTTGTAGTTGGAACAAACAATTATAGAATAAAATTACTGATGAAATTATAATTGAATCTTTTAAAGTGTGGCATAATAGATTTGTTGGTTAATGAAAATGTAAAAATTGATAAAGAATCAGAAACTGAAAAATCAGAAATTAAGGTAAAATTAAAAACTGAAAAAGAATCAGAAACTGAAGTAGAATTGGAAGCTAATAATGGAGAATCAGAAATTGAGGAGTGGGAAAATGGTATTAATGATATAGAATCAGAAATTGAAAAATTGGTAATCAATAAAACTGATGATGAAAGTCATTAGAATGGTAATACTTTAATAGCGTATTTTTTTCTTTGATTTTAATGACAAAATTGCATATTATTATCATTGAACATTATAATTACATTTATTGTATTGTCTGTTAAAATTTTATAAAGAATTTTCAATAAAATTTTACAAGTTGCTTATTTTTGGGTACTATATAAATACGATGTTGATACTTGCTTATTTTTGGTCAAATATGGTAATTCTTTAAACTAATAACTAAACTTATATATATTATCTTAATAAAGATAAATCTATTAAAAATATAAAGTTCTTTTAATTGACACTTTAAAACTTAGTAATTACAAGAATAGTGAGCTTATTAAATTTATACAAAAAATAATCATCAAATTATTTGGCTATAATGGTAAATTATACATATATACTTGATAAATTTGCAGGAAAAAAAATTGATTTGCATAATTAAATAATAATCTTTAAACTTATAAAAAAAGGATTATAATTATTATAATTCAATATTTTTTTTCAAAAAACTTTTATGCTTTATTAATTTTACTGGCTAATATATAAGAATTACTGTAATTAAGTATTTTTTACCATTGAAAATCATATAGTATTAACGAATTTGTGTGCGAATGTCAAAAACAGATTCACGTCTCTTTTCTTTTTCGCCGTTATTAAAAATGTTCCAAAAACGCAATGTTTCATCTCCAGCACCAGTAACTATATTTTGCCCATCAGGTGAAACGGAAAGATACAGGACACGATATGTATGACCTCTCAAAACTGCCAATTGTTCCATGGAAGGGTATTGCCAGAGGATTACTTGATTCTGAGAATATCCATGAGTTGAAACAAGTTCGTTTGAATGTCTAGACCATGCAAGGTTACAAACCTAAAAAATATAATAATATTTAATAAACCAAGCCTATTAATTAATAAATCAATATAATATGTGAGCCTCACCTGTGACTCGGTGTCATAACACTCCAACGCTTCGCCAGTTGAGGTACTCCAAAATCTAATGTGTTTATCTTGAGAACCACCACCGCTTGCTAAAAGACCATGTGAATGTGGACTCCAAGCAATTGCTTTAACAGCTGCTGTATGATGAAGGAATTTATAAATAGGAATGTCACTTGCATTGTCCCAAATTAGGAGTTTGTTATCGTTGCTCCCACTGGCAAGTTGTGTTCCTTCCGGATTCCATTTGAGGCCACAAACCTAGTTAGAATAAGTTATTAGATATATCAGATATGCTCACTCATAATAAAAACAAAAATAAAAAAAGGAAAAAATGTTCACACCTCCTGTCTATGTCCTGTTAATTTTGTTGTGAACTCATTTGGTACTCTTACATCTCTATGGTAAATCAGTCTGTCACGGCTTCCTGAGCTGACTGTATATTGGTTCCAAGCCAGGGCACCTTTTAAAGTGAAAGAGAATGTGAAAATAATATATATTAATATCAATGTAATAAGTAGTCAAGATAACTCTCAAATACTAACCAACTCGTTGGGTATGACCTCTCATTTTTCTAACTCTTTTGCTTTTTTGTACATCCCAAATTTCGACGGGACCTAAAGCTGTACCAACAGCTATGTGCGAACCCTGTAAATAAAAACTATTAGATATATGAATTTAAACATAATCTACAGTGGTCGAGAATTTACCGTTGGCATCCAACTAACTGATGTAACGTTCTCTGCGCTGTTCCTATGATTTCCTTGGCTTGCCATATCACATAGTTTAATGACCTAATGTTTCAAAAAAAATTAAAAAAAAATTAGATGATTCCTTCTCCATTTTGTATGATAATGCCCCAATTAAATAGATAATTACCCTTGATGTAGCTGCACTCCAAAGATAAACACAAGTACCCAGACCTACTCCTAAAACATTATTTGAGGACCAATCAACTAAGTTCAAATAAAAATCATCCTACACATTTTGTTTAGAGTGAAAACGTATTAATCCTTTTGTAACAAAGAATGACACTCTAATTTAAGGTACTACCTGAAGGTCTGGCGCGTCAAGTACTTTATATGGATGTTTACTAATATACCTCAGTGGTTTGCGTGGACTAGTTAGAATCATTTGCGCTTCAAATGGAAGAGGACTTGATGAATAAGAATTTCTGAAAGGCGAATCAATAGCGTTTGATCGTCTCTTTGTCGGTGTGCTGTAGGGTAATACTGTTTTCTGTACTTTGGATGGACTACTATTATTTATACGTCGAATAATTTCATCCGTTGTATCCTTAAGAGGAAACATCGACTTTCCAAGCACAGCTCTATAGATACGACCGTCCTCTTCTAATAATTATAAAGAACCAAGTTATAACACTATAAGACCAAGAATGTAAAGTGCAATTGTCATTTACCTTGCTGTGCATCTTCTTCGATCACTGAAATTTTTCGCTTTTTTGTATTATCATCAATACGCAATTGACGATAATCATTGACCGGATCAGGAGTTCTTTGAGGTATGTGCCTAGAAACAAATCGATCTATTAATGCGTGTTATATTAAGGAACAAATATTTATGTATATTTAGTTACCGGTCATAAGTAGTTCTTTGAGTAGTTGTGTTTATGATAGTTCTTACAGGCGAAACAGTTGTGGAATTCTGTTCACTTCTCCGCACACCAGGACTGTTTTGATGTGCCTGATCAGAATGGTTTCCGGTGTGTTGCGACATTCTGTATTATGACGGCATTAAGTAAAAGAAAATATATTGTATTTACTACATAAAATAAGTTGGTATAAAGCGAAGGTGAATAAATTAAAATTGAAACGTCAAAGCCCGAGAAGATATTTTATTTGTTTATTACGTTTTTCGACGTGTCGTTAAAACAGCTTCTACAAGCTTACCGTTGATACTCGCTATAACAGTTGCAGTATACTTTTATAGTAACTGATGTCACTAATAGTATTATAGTGCTGGTAAGTTTTAGTAATGAGTGTAAGAGAACGTGTCGAATAGTTATTAAAGAAGTTGTATTTATAAAAGTTTTGAACGTGTTGGTTGATTATCTATAACAGATGACAGTAGTTTAAATCACAGCGCCAAATCCTGTAAATCCTGTGATATATGAAATGACTAATAATATTACTAAAGTAAATGTGCTTATAAGGAGGTTAGTGAATGTGATTATAGAGGGGATATGGCTCCGACAAATATCACACTAGAAATCATTATTTTAATATTAATATTCGGACACTTTTATTTGTATTGTTGAAAAAAATTTGTCAATTCTTTTTACCTTACAAATGCTATCTATATAAGCTTGATATATAATATTTATCGTAGACAAGATATAGAATTTATATTTATATGTGTAATCATTTGGAAACTAAAAAGCCAATTAAGGTAATTAGGTGAAATTAAATCTTTATTTTGACAGTTTCCTCCTGAAGAACTTCGCTCTCTTGCACTGGTTTTCATCTTCGGCCAGTCAAGAAAGACCTTTTTGGGCCCCTAGATGAAAGATAGTGATATTAAAGAAAAAAAAATTGACAAATGGAAACGTTTCTTGGTTCAATGTCGTCGATTACGCTTCCTACTGTTCACGCATTTTAGCGCCGTTTTTGGGAACGAGTATATAAAAAATCATTTCCGAGAAATGATTTGGTATCAAATAAAGCTATTCGTAAAAAATCATGCCCAATTCCCGAATATCATACGGCTTTTGGCCGAAGAAAGCCGAACGACTCCAAATTATCAACCGAGTAAAATTTAGAAATGACAACATACCTCTTTCCAGCTCTACCCCCCTTTGTATTCTCATCGTGGTAATCCATGTTAGCGTATTGATCAATCGCGCCTCCTGCCATAATTTCCATATGGTCAACATTTTTTGAATTGGATTTTACTTCTTTGCGAAGGCGTTCTACTTCCTTTTCATATTCTTCTTTTTGTTTCTTGTTTTCAATAGCAGCATCCCGAACTTGTACGATCTTGGTATCTATGACTTTTAAAATTTCCTCTGAAGTTTGAGACCTTTATATAAAAAAAATAAAATTAGTGAGATATAGCTAAACATTATATATCAGTTAAAGACAAATTTAAAACACACCAAGCACTTAATACTTCCAACATTTGATCGATTTGCCCCGGTCGTAAATCTCTACCCATTGTATACTCGATTTCGAGTTGTTTCCTTTTTTGATCTAATTTACCTTTAATTACATCTTGGTAGATTGCCTCAATAATTAGATCCTCAAGTTCACGGACATTTGGTATATCAAGGTATTGCAAAAGTATGTCATACGGGATTGTCTAGCACGGATTTTTTTTTTAAAGAAAAAAGATAAATAATCATTCAATCCGATGACAATAACTCTTGACACTTCATTCAAAAAAATTACAAACTCTTGATTCTTCGGATAAGGAAACGATGGATAAATGTTTCAATTTATTAAGTTGTGTAGCTTCTAATTGAGGCAATGTTGATGCATTTTCTAAAAAATAGATCATAGTTAATCAAACGTCAAATTTGATAAATACAAATCGTAGCAATTTATGAATTACCTTTATAATCTTTATATGTGCCATAAGAAAACAATCTTAATAATGTATGGTATGAAACATGTTGCTCATTATTTTGAAGCTAAAAGAATTTAAATATATATTAATTAACCTTTAAATATTACCCTTAGTTCGGTTTAATTTATTATACAGGACTAACAAGCAAAAAAGTATAAAAACGTCTTTACAAACTAATCAAAAAGCTCAACGCCATACATGTTAGTCTAAGACAATTCTTATAATTGAAGTATACCTCAGCAACATTTGGCATTTCTAATAATTCGGCAAACACGTAAACACCTGGTGCAGCCAGTGCGTCTTTAATCAGTTGTACACATGCACCACCTTTAGCAGACTTAGAAAGCAGAAGGTAAGGTTCTAGACGTTGACGAGCCGAAGAGCTTAATACGACTTCAGACATAATTACTTGAGGATTAGAGTCTGACTTGATCACAGTATTAACTGATGTATATTTATCACCCGATTGGATATATTGCACGTGACAAGAATGAATTGATGGAACTGTTTAGGCACGACGAGACTCATGAGAGATTGTCTTCGGGCGACGTTACATTGTTTAAAATTTTGTCTGTCTTTAAGATTGTGATAATACAGTAATTCTTTCCGACTCCACGACAATATATGGTTCTCGTTCAGCTATAAAAATAAAAATAACTACAGCACCGCGATTTACAAATAATATTTACTTTCTAACTTTTTTTATAAACCTATTAATGTAATCCGTCTTGTTAAATTATTTTTTTAAATAATGAGATTTGTGAAATTTTTCACGTGTTGTCCGTATTTTATTCATGAAATAACCTTAAATCTTCGTGAAAGAGCAATTTTTCAGCGGATATTATTCCCATGAAAAAAATCACAAAATAAATTCATTTCCTAAAATCTAGAAAAGTAACACAAAATGCAATATAACGTTACATTAATTTTACAAAATTTCCATTTTTAAAATCAGAACGTTACATTTTCCGATCTTGCAGATTTCTTGTAATGAGTTTTTTTATTGAATTTTGTTCGACACATGTTTTTATAGCAATATATGTGTTTTTTGACATTCTAATGTGATTCAGATACAGATATGACGATGATGCCACCTTCATACGAGCGCAACTCAAAGGAATTCAATATGTACTCAAATAAATAAAAATAATCATATAAATATTTTTTTAAAAAAAAAACTTTTATCTTATCTTATTTTTACCCAATTAGTTTTAAGAAAGTTTTGTGTTTAAACCATGGAGGTTAAACAAGAAATAAATATAGCAAGACCACCACAATCACTTTCAGAAACACAAATAAATTTCAATTTTCAACACATGCAAACTACACAACCCGTTTCTAATTTTAATAAGATAGACAGACACTATACACCACAGCTAAAATTTACCAACTTTGCAGCCCAACCATCCATTGTAACAAAATATGTCACCTCCAAATTTTTAAGACACGAGATTTCTTACTTCACTCGCGATGAAGCAAAAAAAGATTTGGCTGGTAAACAAAAGGAAAGTGAAGAGGAAGACGTTTATGAAGACGAAGAGGAAGAGGAAACAACTAGCGAAGAAGAACTCGAGGTATTTTATTTTAATTTTTTTAAAAAAAGATAATTTATTTACCCAAATTAATCTCTCCGTAGTCAAATGTCGAAGGATCGAAAGTATTGGTGATACATCCAGGATCAAGGTATCTAAGGATCGGTCGCGCTTCTGAAGCATTTCCTAGCGTTGTACCACATTTAATTGCACGGAGAATGAGAAATAAAAAGGAAGATGAAGCACGGCAAGATGAGAGTAAAAAAGAGATTAAGGTCGAGCGAGAAACTGAAGATATTTATCCTGTTAATAACAATGAAATCAAAAAGGAAAATGAAAGTGAAGAAATTAAAGAAATGAGGCTAGACGAAGAGGATGCTAAAGAAGCTGAAACTTGTTCAAATTCGGCGGGCTCTTCAATCGTGACTGAAGAGGAAGACGAAGATGAGGTTAGAATTTTAACTCTTATTATATATTATGTCAATTATTCTTAATCTTGTACAATAAATAGGAATATTTTAAACATGCTGTTGGTGAAATAAAAAAAGAATTAAAAGAAAGGATGAAGGCTTCGAAACGAAGGCCTGTTGCTAATGCACAATCACAAGTTCATTCGTTTAATAAATCTGCCCATCCAGAGACGATCGCGGATCATAACGACCCTTATAGAATCGATTGGACTGTAGTAGATGATGATGCTGAGTATTATGTAGGAGAAAAGGTAAGTTTAAGATATGAAGATTCTTATCCTTTATATCAATTTATCATTGCCAGGATTTTTATAAAGTCTTTTAACATTACAGGCACTTCGACTTCCTGATTCAGATTCAGCAGATTCTTTTAAATTGTTTTATCCGATACAGCACGGTGAATTTAATACCAGTGATTATGATTCCATTAAAGCTATAATCGGAGATCTAGAAACAATTTGGACCGAGTCGATTCGAGAAAAACTTGGAATTTCTCGGAAAAATTTCAGGGTATTTAAATTATTACCAATGAAGCTCACTTTTTATATTTTTACTTATCACTTCTTTTATTTTTAGAATTATTCCGTAATTCTTGTAATTCCTGATGTGTATAATCGACTATATGTGTTGGAAATGATCACAATGTTACTACGATACATGGAATTCCGTCGCGTTTTTATAGCGCAGGAATCAGTATGTGTCAGTTTTGGAGCCGGCATGTCGGTAGCATGCATTGTTGATATTGGAGCTCAAACTTCCACTGTTACGTGTGTTGAAGATGGGATGTGTATTCCTGACTCTAGGTTGCAACCTTAATAAATTTCAATTTGAGGATGTATTTTTCATTAATTAATTAAATTTGATGATGTTCATGTTTATTTATAGGGTATATCTTCATTATGGAGGCGATGATATCACGTATTTCTTCATTAAACTCTTAAGAAGAAGCAAGTTCCCATATTCTGAAATGGATTTAACTCGTGTATATGATTGGTTGTTGGCTGAAGAAATGAAAGAGAAATTTTGTACTTTGGATGAAGTATGTTTTTTACTTTTGCATTTCTTAGCATGTATGAACTTATTTAAATATTTAAACATTTTCAAAACGAAGGCCAATCTCACAATTCAATTAAACGAGTTTTACGTGAGAGCACCTAATAAACCCACATTGAAGTATCAAATTAAGACGTATGATGATGCGATTATCGCGCCAATGGTGAGAATCGTTTAGCAATATATGATTAAATCCTTCTATTATTAAATATAATTATTGACCTAGTTTGATGTTTTATTAGCTGCTATTTTACCCTCACATAATCAATTTTAACAAGAAACGAGCCGAATTTCCCCAAAAATTTACATCTTACACGATTGACGATATTACAGAAGGAGCTATTACAAATAACGGAGTAAGGATGACAATAGACTGAAAGTTTCTTTTTTCTGATCACAAATCGCAAATATGATAATAATATTTTTATAGGTTCAACCAGGATTGGTTATGCAAAAACCAAAACTTTCTGTCGCAACACAAGCAGCAACGCAAATTCGAACTTCTTTTCCTTCCCCATCACCTCAACCACGAGATAGTCCAGGATCAACTACACCTCTTAGAATAGATAACAACACAGTCCCTGCACCTTCGCCTATACCTGCATCTGTGTTGCCTACAACCCAGCCCGCATCTCCATCAATATCATCAAATACAGTTGCACGTACTCAAAATGCTCCTCTTGTAGATTCTCTGTCTACACTACCACTTGATGATGCCATAATCCAGAGCATTAATACTGCGGCAACTGAAGAAAGAGCTAAAAAATTTTATTCAAGTATACTTGTGGTTGGCGGAGGTGGACTTATTCCAGGAGTGAATAAAATGTTGGAAGAAAGGTATGATTTTTTTTTCTTTATATAAAATAAGAGGATATATTAATACCTAATAATATACTTTTCATTAATCATTACGTCAGATTGTCATCCCGACAAATACAAAATGCGGATAAACTTGAAGTCCTAACATCATCTAGAGATTTAGATCCAAGGTTATTAGTATGGAAAGGTGGATCTGTAATGAGCAAATTGGAGATTTTAAATGAATCATGGATTAATTCGAGAGAATGGGAAGAGTTGGGAGTTAGATGCTTAAGAGAAAAAGCATTTTTTATTTGGTAAATCTATTTTTGTAATTATTTATAGAAACTTTGAATTGCTTTTTTATTTTTTATTTTTTTTTTTTTAAAAAAAAAAATATAATATAAATAATATAAATAAAATGAAAATTTTTTGTTGACCTTTTTTAAAATATAAATTTAAGCTATATATATGCAATAATTAAAATATATAAATTCTTTAATTTTGCTGCCGGGAACTACTTGCTGTGTTCATGTGCATACGTACAGGACATCCTACCAGAGTTTAGGAGTTATGCACTTACACGTGATAGCATTAAACTTAACTCCGGCCGGTGCGTACGTTAATATCGTACACATGCTGCGTAAGTAGAAGATCGTGGTTCTACACCCCAAAAAGACGGACCAGTCTGTCTCGCGTATAATACAGAACCTCTATACTCAACTACTTATGTATAGTAACAATTGATTGATTATAAATTCCTAAAAAAAAATTTTTCTATATTAAAGTAAAAAATTTAACCAATAATTTTTATAGATATGACCATTAGCTTTAAAAATTATCGGTTATTTTTTTCTAAATTAAATTTTGGCTGAGTTTTAGCTATTTAAAAATCTGTAATTTAAATATATTGATTAAATTTAGTCAAAATTGAAACTAGTCTAAATTTTTGTATTAAAGATTTTTTTTAGCCACATTTAATGTAAAAAGTTCTAATGAATAAAGTTGTTTAAATATAGGTCAATTTAATGTTATACATCCATCTGCCAAAAGTATCCAGACACTTCTAAAAAATAATCATTAAATCACATTATTTTGACATCCAGTGATCAGAATTTAATGATTTATGATTCATTGGATTCATCTAATTGTAGCACATCTAACCAGGACTTTGCTTACTTATAAGATAGATCACCCCCAGGCCTAAGGTAAAAATCATATATAAAATTCTTTGCAAATCCTACTATAAAAGGAAATTTTATGTTACATTGTTATGATTTTTTTCCTTTTTAGCTAATTAACCAATAGAATTTAAGAAAAAAGTAAGGTAAAAACTATTAGTAAAGGGCTAATTTTCTACAGTGACCTTTATTATAAGTAAGCGGATCCTATCTAACTGCAGTATTTTCAAGTCTGTAAGTTCAATTAGTGCTCCGAACAGATCAGGTCAGATCAGGTCAACCGATTAACCTGACCTGATTTTTTTTTCAGGTCGAATCAAGTCAGGTATAATCAGGTAAACGGGTATAAACTAATCTGACCTGTAATCTGAAAATATTCAGGTTTATATTCAAGTATCAAATAGACAATTTCGATTTGCAACATTGGCGCAATTCTGCATTCCTGCAAGCCGTTTATGACTAAATAATATAATTATATTATTTAGTCATAAACGACTTAGAATAGGTTATTTAGTAATAAAATAATCTAGATATGATTAAATAATCTAAATATAACTAAATAATCTAAATATAACTAAATAATCTAAATATAACTAAATAATCTAAAGTTAATAATCTAATTATGGTTAAATAATCTAATTAAATAACCTAATTGTGATAATTTTTTATATCTACCTATTTTTCTTATTATATTTCTTGCCTTTGAAATCGAATTTCTTTTTCCATTTCCTATTTATCATTTGTGGTCATGTGATTAAATAATCTAATTATGACCATGATTAAATAACCTGAATACGCCTATTTTTATTAGTGTTTGCGGTATTATAAATACTTTTTGATATAATTTACGTTGATTATGTTCTACAGCCTTTTCATTACCAATTTGATACCTTCCTGTTTATACTTATCTCTACCTGATTGGGGGCCGGCTTTTATATTGGAAATGTTAGCCTTCTGTGTCAATTTGGATGCTGGTTCTATGATAAGAATGTAGCCTATTTGGTTTGCCTCTCTAGATGTCAAAATATGGTAAAAAAATATCGCGTTGGGTGTAGGGATGGTAAAGTCCTAGGTCCTGGACCTAAAGACCTGGTCCTAGGACCTGGTCTGCAGATCTTTAGGTCCAAATTTTGGACCAGAAGCGGACTAGGTCCTAAAAAGTCCTAGCCAATAAGGTTATAAGAGATCTATATGTTTAAATTATATATGTATAATTTGCTGTAAATTTGATTTTAAGTAATTATAAATTATAAAAAAGTGCACTGCAATATTGCAATACAATTTTTATATTATTAAAATCATATAAAAAATGAGTTGCGATATTGCGATTCACATTTTTATATTAAAAACAATATAAAAACGTGAATCGCGATACCGCAACTCACTTTTTTTATATAAAATCAATATAAAAAAGTGAATCGCGATACCGCAACTCACTTTTTTTATATAAAATCAATATAAAAAAGTGAATCGCGATACCGCAACTCACTTTTTTTATATAAAATCAATATAAAAAAGTGAATCCCGATACCGCAACTCACTTTTTTTATATAAAATCAATATAAAAAAGTGAATCCCGATATCGCAACTCACTTTTTTTATATTTAATTATTACTAAAATTCATAAAATCTATAAATAACTTAGTCAGGACCAGGTCCTGGGACCAGGTCCAGGACTGGTCCTAATAGGACCTGGTCCGCAGGTCCGTTCAATAGGACTTATAGGTCCCAGAACCAGGACCGGACCAGGACCGACCTAACCATCCCTAGTTGGGTGGCGCAGTAGATTTGTGATTAATTTCGGCTGACACTATGGCATAATTCAGGCTGATCTTTTGGGTACGTGATTTGAGGGTCCAACTCAGTGCCATGGTAGCGACCTGGCAGTGCCTTGGGACTTTCCTGGAACTTTTATCGAACTGGCAGGGTACTGGAGTGTTTCTATTAATTTGCCAGTTTCAGTACCAGCTTTGGATGCCGAAATATTATGCCCAAAGATCTGGCCAAAATTGTGAAATAGTGTTGACTGAATTTATACTGCACCTTACTGCATCATGGTCATATGATCCTATTCTGGCACTGAACACCCTTTGCCATATAATATAGCAAATTCGGTTAATTCTATTAGTTCACCAGTTCAGAAGTATGATATGCATTATTATGGCCAGCCCATTTGATTACCAAAAAGTGCGCCATCCTACAATCTAACTATTGACTATTTATTGCTGGTATATGTATGCCAATTTCGTATCCCAATATTTGAATCATTAGAACGCATTTATATTATATTTTACCATATTTTCAGGCATATTAGGATATAAATGAAAAAATCGAAATTTTTCTGTAGAGTGTAGACGCTATGAACATTTTTCTGTGAACACTATGGACGCTTCTATGGACAACCATGGTATTATTTTTAGGGTTTTTAAGTTTATTGCTTATTTTCTTTTATATTTGTCCCTAGTGTCTATAGTGTCCCTAGTAAAAGTAAAGTTGTAGGAAAATTTTTGAAACTTTTCCTATGCTATATATGTTCCATTATATGCGATTATTTTTTATGCGATATGGGTGGTATATGTGTAATATATGCTATGCTAAAAAATAAAAAAAAAAGTTAAGAGATCCGATTTTTTCTATGGTCACTATGGTCAATATGGTCACCCATCTGTAAAGCCTTTTAGAGATCTAAAAGCATCAAAAACCCTACTTCCGACATCCACAGAAGCGTCCATAGTCTGATTTTTTCTATGGTCGCTATGGTCACCCATCTGGACGGCTTTCCAGGAATCTAAACTGCCCAAAATCTACTTCTGACGTCCATGGAAGCGTTTATAGTCCAATTTTTTCTATGACAACTTTCTAAGACCAGTTCTGTATTGTATCAAACCTTTTAATTTTATCGAGAGCCTCTCTCATTGCCTCTGGAGTTTGCCCGCTCTGAAACATCTTATTTAACTTTTTCTGGTGATAATATGCATTTGAATGGCACTTATTTACATGCCAATTACAATATCCATATTTTGATGCTATCGGTCTTACACACCCATCTTGTTTGCACGGATGTCGCTGACGTCTTTTCCAGTGAATATGACACCCTTGTGGTCAGTCTGCAAGATTTCCACAAACCATCCCTTCATTGGAAGGATATTGGCAAATGTATTCACCTCCCATTATTCTCAGATAGCTTTTTGATGACTATAATAAATAATTATTTTCATTTTAAACTTTTTTACTATAGTAATATACTAAAGGGTATACTTAGATATCATATCCCAAAAAATGACCAAATCTGACTTCTTCGAAGACGCGCCCTCCGTCCCGTACTATTATGGGTTTAAAGTCTCCAACATAGGACAATACTTTTACAAAATTCGTGATGATAGTATCAGGCCAAAAGAATTTCTTGGTGCAGACAATGAGGATGAAATAGAAGCCATACTCTCAGATCGTGAAGGTCATTCTTTACATGAATTCATTGATGGTGATGAGCCACTCCGGCCTATTATAGATTTTGATTTGCCAGTAGAAACATTAAATGCTATTACTCCCAAGCTTTCAGGTGGTTAGGCAAAAAATATACTTTGTCGTAGCTTTAGAGATTAGAGATACTTGCCTAGAAATATTCCCAAAATGGGATAAAAATACTATGTCTATTGCTGATAGTAATGATGAGAAAAAAATATCTCTACATGTCTTAACTTCTGGCATGAGACTCCCAAATATCGCTCAGGTCACAATGTTCACTGAGCTTGTCTGTAAGAAACTTCCAGAAGGGTTGCAAGGAAAAGGTATTATCGATAATATAGCAAACAAATGATCATTCTCCTTACGAATGATTGAAACACCTAAGTTTGATGAAAAGACTGGAAAACACATTTGTGTGAAAAAAACTATTCTCCCAAAGATGGAACAATCTTCGACTTCATGCTTCGTCCACCCAATGATGAATCAGAAGTCATAGAAAGTCCTCTCTTAGTCATTCCGGAGTCAGAAAGTATAAGTCATAGTAGTATGGGCATTGATGTAACAGAAGTCGAATTAGAATTAGTTGGGAAATTGCTCCAAGAGACCAGCATAGAAGGATTTAACCTCTCGTTCCCATCTTAACAATCTCCTGATATCTTTCCTCTTAAATGCATGGCCCAATCATATTGTTCATTATGTGACCAAGAACATACCAACGAAAATGCATATATTATACGAAATAAAAAATCATATAGTTTTCATTACTATCGAGTAGACCAGGAAAAGCCACCTGGGTCAAGAAAGCCTTCAATAAAACTTACTCCTAGTGAGACAGCTTTGAGCTGAGAAAAGAACCTTCCGGCTCCAGTAAAATTAGAACAATCTAGAATTTCAAACCCAAAAGACCATTTTGTATGGTGGAATTTAATACGTATGTGTACTTTAAGTAAGAAATTCTCCTGCGCTGAAGTTTATGAAGCAATCCAATCAACCATTGCTTATATTCAAAAGAAAATACCAATCTGAATATTAAAACATAAGGATCCAGAAAATGGGCTTTACTTCAATATGGGAGCTGAGCTAAAGCTTGCCAAGTTTGAGATTAAAATAATCAAATATAGGGGTGAATCGGTAAAGTTAAAATCGTTAATAGACCAGGCAGTTATTAAAGGTCTAATCGTTTACGAAGATTATTACTTCCTCCCATATCCCATAAGCATTCTTCAACCAGATTCAGATTTCTTTAACCTTTTCCTAGAATTTTTAGCTAAGCCGGGGACTCGAGCCGAGCTACAGTCTGGCTTGGCTCGGCTTGAAGATTTGCGCCAAGCCAAGCCTGAAATGAGCCAAGCCACAAAAAATCTTGGCTCAGCTCAATTCGAGCCAAGCTGAGCCATGAAAATCCTGGTTTGAGCCAAGCTGGGCTCGAGCTGGCTCGAGTTTTATCATAAAAATGTTTTCGCAACGTTTTTACTTTAAATTATTAAAAAAAGCGTTGCAAAACGTTTTTTACTTTTATATTTATATAAAACGCCGAAACTATTTGTTTCAGCATTTTTCCTTTTGATTTTACATGTAAAAACGCCGAAACTGATAGTTTCATCGTTTTTTTTCGATTTTACATGTAAAAGCGCCAGAATAATTAGTTCTGGCGTATTTCCTTTTGATTTTACATGTAAAAACGCTGAAACTGATAGTTTTGGCGGTTTTCTTTTGATTTTACATGTAAAACCGCCGAAACTGATAGTTTTGGCGGTTTTCTTTTGATTTTACATGTAAAAATGCCGAAACTGATAGTTTTGGCGTATTTCTTTTAATTTTACATGTAAAAATGCCGAAACAGATAGTTTTGGTATTTTTATTCAATTGTACATGTAAAAACGCCAGAATAATTAGTTCTGGCATTTTTCTTTTTGATTTTACATGTAAAAATGCCAGAATTATCAGTTCCGGCAGTTTCTTTTTGATTTTACATGTAAAAATGCCAAAACTATTAGTTCCGGTGTTTTTTTTCAATTTTACATGTAAAAACGCCAGAATCATTAGTTCCAGCATTTTTTTTTCAATTTTACATATAAAAACGCCGAAACTATTAATTCCGGCGTTTTTTTTTCAATTTTACATGTAAAAACGCCAGAATCATTAGTTCCGGCATTTTTTTTTCAATTTTACATGTAAAAACTTAAATAAACATTTTCGCAACGTTCTTTAATAAACAATGAAAAAAAGTTGCGAAAACGTTTCGTTTATGCATGCATTATTATATAAAAACGTTTCGCAATGTTTTTTGTATAATAGCTCGTTTGGCTCGTGAGCCAGCTCAAGCTTTTTGAGCCAAGTCTGTTACAGGCTCGAGCTTTTTGAGCTGAGCCTAATAACTGGCTCGAGCTCTTCTAAACTGGCTCGTGGGCCACCAAGCCAATTTAATCATGGCTTAGCTTGGCTCAGCTTGAAAAGCTTGAGCCAGCTCATAAGCCAGCTTGGCTCGTGTAAAGCACTACCAGTGATAAAGGTTAATAAAGAAATTATGGATCTGATTCTCTGACATGTAAAGAATATAATTTGCAATGGAGATGAAAAACTCAATGAATATATCTGGAACTGGTGGGCATATTTAGTTCAAAAGCCAGAAAAGAAGCCTCGAACAATCTTAGTACTAAAATCCACTTTACAACAGTATGGGAAAAATATTATCACTGATTTTATTGGTGATAAAGTTCTAGGAGAGCATCTTCACTATGCAGGATCGGATTTGGAAAAAATGCTTAGGCGCTTTAATAGCGTCATCCAAGCTCGAAAACTTATTGTTATGAATGAGACTGGGATGTCTAGTGGAGAATGGCATAGATTTAATGGGCATCTTAAATCTCTTATAACAGAAGGGAAGGTATCCATAGAACGCAAAGGTCTCGAAACTAAGAGATTAAAAGATTTTGCTGGATATATGATTACAAGCAATCAGGATGCACCAATTAAGATAGATATAGGAGATTCTTGCGTAGTCTGTTTTGAAGTCTCAGCATGCTGTAGGAGTAATATACCGTATTTTGACCAGCTAGGAGAAATTCTAGATCATCCTGATGCACCAGGTATGGTTATGACATACTTTCTTAATCTTGATTTATCAAAATTTAGTCTTGTAAAAATTCCTAATACTAAAATGAAAGTAGAAACAATGCGCAATCATCTCCCTAATCCTATTCGGTTTATAATAAATTATATTTCATTATAGGATGTGAATAAAATAGCTAAGCTAAGCAGTACATCTCTATATCAACATTATCTTGAATGGTGTGAAGAGAATGGAGAAAAGCCATTAACTAACAATATTCTCGGCCAGAAGTTTGCACAAATCAGCATTGATAAAGTGCGTTCACGAGATAATGGAGTAAGAGTAAATCAGTATATTCTTGGCCGCTCCAAGATTGTAGCTAAGCTTCGTAAATCTGGCCTAGGCGATATGGAAGAATTTTCTGATATATCTCAAGATGACTTACCCGAAAATGAGACAGCAGACATACCCATATTCAATGTGCCAGAAATTATTCCCCCAAAAATAATCCCGACTCTTCTAGAAAAGAATACGCCTCCACTTAATACTAGTAAAGATAAGAAGGCGGATAAGAAGAGCGATGTGACTCAAGACCTTTTCGACTACGTAACAGAACAAACTGAAGCTCCGGTCGCCTCAACAGATCTTGAAGGGACCACATCTGGCACATCTGAGACTTCTAAAACGCCTGAGTCACCAATCAATAAGCCCAAAGTCGGTAAGCCTCCTGAATCTAACGAGTCTAGCAACGAAGTGGTGAATTTATCTCCTAAAGAAACAAATGTTAAGCATGATTCTCCAAAGCCTAATGAAGTATCGTCTGCTATACTCCTGGCTAGACAACAGCGTGAAGAGCGCCTCAGAAAAAAGGCAGTCGAACTCGGTGAGAATCCAGATGCCTTTGTGACCATCACCGAAAAAGACCGATTCGATTCCATTACATTCCGTGATAGAATGGTAACTGATTCACGAATGTGTGCTTGGGCTATAGAGCTAGAGGATAATTCCAAAGAACATATGGACATGACAATACGAGAAAGATTAATAGGAGAAGAAATAATCTGTTGTTCTCTCGAGGAAGATGAGATCATATCCTCATGGCTCGATACCGATAAGAAATGGAAAAAAACAGTAAGCATACTCCAGAAGAATGGTATGCTTTGGTAAAGAGCGAATAAAAAGCCGGCCCTCTCGTTCAAGAACTTCGAGGTGGATATCTTCAAATCTTTTTTCTCATCCCACAGGTCGATAGATCAAGGGGAATTCTAAATTATTATTATTATTTTTTCGCTTATCCTATCAACCTGCAATTTTAAAATCGATGTAAATCTATCCCAGGCCAAGCAGGTAGCCTTAAAGAGATCTCTGCGTAAGTTATATATTTTTTTCCCTTTCTCTAATCCCCGATATCTTTCACCGACTATGAGATAGTGAAATGTCGGAATATTTTTTTCGAATTGAACTTTTTTCTGCATAGTATAACCAAACAATCTACATATTACCAAATAGTATCATGGCTGGCATCGCTACTAAGTATGTAACAGAAAATGGGCTTAATAACGAAATAAGTATCGAAGAGCTCATTCAACATGCGCCAGAATTTAACATCCTTTTGACGGATAAAGTTAAGAGAAATCAGGCACGTCGATGTCTTCAAAAAGGATACAACTTTAGCAAAGAGTAGATATTTGCATTGATTCTTAAGCTGATGGCTGGTCGAAAAAAAGGTGAAGCTATATCCCATAATACTCCAGATACTCCCAATGTTCTCCAAGAAGTAGAACCGGTGGAGGGAGGCACGGTAAATGTGTGCCAAATTTCGCAAAAAGAGACTATTAGAGATTTGGCCCAGCGTATCATTCGGGATAATCTTGGTGAAGCAGAAGTAAAAGTTATAGCTAAAGCCTTAGCTGAATCTGCCTCTAATGCTAGCACTGGTTTATCCCGAATTTCTAGGCTTCGAAGAGAGTTGCGAAATCTCAAAGTCTCAGAAAAAATTATTTCGGCTACATTGATTCCAGACATAAATCGCTTAGCTAATAAAATTCAAAAGGAAAAAGGTTTGCTATGTGAAAATGAAGGCATTGATTACCCAGATTACTTTGCGTTAGAATCAGTTAAGAAAAGATTGGATGTGTATGATGTATCCAAAGTTCCTGGCTTGCAAACCCTTGCCGATATATAAATAATAATGCTCTGCATCCGTCTTGCTGAAATAAAAACCCTGCGTATATCTAATGGAGGTGTAACTGGATATGCAAAAAACCGGGAACAACAAGACATTTCTCGAGTATTTAGATTACTAGAAAAGAACGAGGAGCGGGCTAGTCAATTGCTTATGTGGATTCAGGAAGCAATTTCTTCCAGACACTTACGAGACCCTGGAAATCCTGGAGTGTTATGGTTTAATACATTTCTGAAAAAAGATGAGTTCCTTCCTGAAACTGGCAAACCACTACTTCCTAGTTCTTTGCGCAAATTAAGGGCGGTATTTGCAGTCGTTTCGAATTGTGCGAAGAATTTATCAGAGGCTATGACTATTGCCAGTGAAGCACTTCGCTACAGTCCTGACAACCATGCCTCTCCTGCAAAAAACTATACTATAGTAAATTATCGCAAAAGAGGACAACCTCATGATCAGGCAAAGGCAATCAAGATTTTTGATGAAAACTAATCACATATATGGGTTAGAGGGGATCCTAGAGAGATCAGATCAGGAGGCATTACCTCTGGTAACCCTGGTATCATTTATTAATTTTATTTTTTCGCTCGAGACAAGATCTAGCATATAGAATATATTACGAAAATGGTAGCTGATCAAAAGTATTCATCTGATATATCCAGCGAGCAGGAAGTTATCAGATATACAGAGAAATTACCCCAGTCATTAGGACTGGATGAGCAGAATACAAGAGCATATAAAGCACTCTCTAGACAGATTTGGGCGTTAGAAAAAAGACTGGAAGATTATTATTTCGAATATGTAAAGCTTAAAAAGAAGGTCAATTTATTGAAAGCTGAATTGGATGATCTGGACGAATGTGTGGATAGGGAGACTGTGGTCGACTTAATTCATGAAATAGTTCTTTCGCTGATTGGTAAAGCAGGGCAGAAAGAATGTAAGGGTTCTTCCTATTCGTCTGACTCTTCCAAAGAATCTGATTTAGTTGAGATGGTAAGAGAACGAAAAGCTGTCCCTCATAAGCAACGAAGGAAGGCGTGACCAAGAAAAGTTAAGCGGGTGGTAGTTTGAAGTGGGCCGAGCCAGAATTTTATTTTTTCGTTTAAAGATACAACATATAAAATGGAATATTTATGACGCAATCAAGCATCTTTTATTTACCAGAAGTATTAGAACATATTTTACATTTCTTATTGATAGATAAATCCATCTACCCTGCTCTATATGTTTCCCAATTGTGATACAGATGCGGTACCCTATTCTATGGAGATGCATTGAGCTAAAGGGAATGATCCCAAAGCAAAGAAATTCATAAAATTAGTATGTGGAAAGCAAAAGCCAATTTATAGCTTGAAACTAACCCATCTCGAAATTCCATACTATAATCTACTTTCAAGTAAGAAAATTGAAGGCATCGTAAGAACATGCCCAAACATAATTCATTTGAATTTCGAAAATTGTGTGGGTTTTAGTAATAGAGCATTAAATCAGCTTAAAGCATATCCCAATGTGAGATATCTCAATTTATGTAGTAGTGGTATTATGGGTGATAAAGCTTTATGTGGAATGGTGGAATCATGTCGTAAAATAGAATATCTAAATATTTCTTTCTGTCAAGGCATTACTGATAGATCTTTAATCAAAATTGCGGACAGTTGTCAAGCTTTACAAAAGTTTCATTTTGCTTGTGCGCATTTGATTTCTGAAAGATTTATAAGTTACATCTTAAACTCATGCCCAAATTTACTAAGATTCAGTATTCCGGGTAGCTGTCGAAGAAAAAATAGATGTGATATATTAGTAGAAAAACTTCTTACTATAGAGAAATACCTTAATGTAGAGAAACATCTTAGTGTAGAGTATCTTGATTTTGGTAGGTGTGTTTACATCGCTGAGACTTCAATTTGCAATGCCATTCATTCCTGTCCAAATCTCCAACATCTCAACCTTAGTTTTTGTGGAATTACTGATAAAACTATCGAAGAAATTGCTAGATCATGTTATATTTTAAAATATCTTAATTTAAGGGGGTGTTATAAAATTAGCAAAGGAGTCGTAAATAAGCTAAATCCAAATATCCACATAGAGAATTTCGAGGAAACTTTATCACATCCCGATCTCATTAGAGCAGTTAGAAATCATCTTATACAGAATAATGTTTTTAATAGATAAATTTTAGCTCAGGGTCTTCAGCGCCTCTTAGATTTAAGTATGCGAGATAATTTGCAGTGGTATTCCGATCCAGGGTTGGCTAGATCAACAGTTCAGAGTGGTGGTCGGTTATATAACACCCGGCATAGTGTTGCTAATAATCAAAATTCAGTTCTATCTCAGATACACTGGCAACCTAACAGACGGTCACTAAGGAATTATTTTGATAGAATACTAGCTAATCAAGCAAAATGCTGGTACTCTATTGATCTAACTAATCCGGAGCAGTGATCAGCTCAGAAGATTTTTTGTTGGGTTATAGTCTGTGTGATAAAAAATATAGATTAGCTAACCTGTTCTAGACATGGGCATTGACCGGCACTAGATGGATTTTTGATGAATATTTCGTGCAATTGTTGAGGAGAGAGCTTCAGAAATAATGGAAGCCCCTCTCCAGTAAACATAATTTTCTTTACACCTATTTCACCATATTTCGGAAATATCACACCTGGATCATCCTTTAAGGGACCATGAAACTCCTTAAGCTTCCGGAGATATGCTCTCATATTTTCATCAACTTCTTCTGCTCTTTCTTGATTAGAATAGCCAACAATGTCGAGTTTATCCTGAATTGCTATTATATCCTCTTTCAAACACATAAACAAATTAAATATTTCACTAAATGGAATATCTGTAGAAGCTTTATTGCTTCGGAGTGCTTCTTCTAGAATGGGATTACCATCAATATTGAGTTTCTCCTGAATCGGTATTAAATCCCCTACCAATTCTAACAACAGCTCGTAAGAATCGGCAAGTGTTTTTCCCATGAGCTCGGAATCTAGAGGCACTACTAATTCATTTGCATTGCCAGGGCCAATACCGAGTTTCTCCTAAATAGCTATTATATCCTTCTTCTTATATAAAAACAGTCCATAAAACTGAGCAAGCGTTTCAGGGTTATTATTTGCCATGCCACTCCTGTGTGACAGAAAAATAAGTGGATCAGCAGTCAGCCTCATGTGCAACATAATTTTCGCATATATATCAAAAAACATATTAACCTTTATTATTTATTTTTTCCTGAACAATCATGAGAAAAATGGCCTGCTTCACAGGCGCTTCGCTTGAAAGGAAGTCTACATGCAACACAAAACCAACTCTAAAAGTAAATAGTGCGACAAAAGCATATGTTATGAAAGGCTGAGGACTTTGGAATTTTGAGATCGCTAGGCGTAAAACCAACTGTGTCTTTCTGGTAGATCTACATGTGAAAGGGTATAAGAATTACATTTGCATGTGCCTTCATAGAACTCTTGGCATCAGACAACAATACTAATTACGCTTTATATCTCCTTATCTTTGGCTTGGCGCTCTTTTTCCCAGCAAGATATAAAGCATGTAATGGTATGTGGAAGTTTAGCCAACATTTCTCAAAAAACTTTCCCAGAGAAAATAGTTTCACTAGCGTAGCTAACGCAAATAAGGTATGTATATGCCAGAAGTTGTGTATTTATGGGGACGAGTTTTCTCACTACGGGCTCTTGTTTTTAGATGTCTGATAAAGCTAGTATTATTACTCTCAACTGTCTCATCTCCGGCGAGGAAGCAAACGATGTCTTTGGAATAAAAATATCTTGCGAAGGAGTATCAAACTCAAATGATAATCGAGTTTCTATTCTTGCAGATAAAATCAGAAACTGTCGTCTAGATCTATTTAAAGATACTGATTCGAGCAAGCTAATTTTATATATGAATAAGGCTGAAGCTGATAGTGTCGTAATTCTCGGCTTAAAAAATGATAAAGGGGCTATATTGAATGGTACGGAATTGATGAAGCATGAAAACACCATTTTAAGTTATTTTAATGGTCAACCCTCTCCTAAATATCAAGGCGAAAAGGGGTCAATATTATCGTATATCCTCCTACAGATGATTAATATTTTCATTCGTATCATGTAAAGCGGTCCCGGTCAGACCTCTATTCGTATTTTTTATGTAATGTAGGCCGACTTCTGTCAATAATTTATTTCATAAATAAAGTATTATTATTGTATTGTATATGAGAAATGGGTCACGTGTAATGGTGCGGTCCAAATCTAACATTTTTATCTGAACTAATCTAGCCTAATAAAAAATGTCAGGTGATAAGTGAGAAGAGTCTTCATGGTTAGGGAGGCGCAGTGATTAGGTGATCGTTGCACTTGACCGATTATACGGCAGGCTTGTGAAATAGAATAATTTTTCACATATAGTATTTTTTTGCAAATAAAATTCTTTTTACTCTTGTCCTCACATACCGCACTTTGAGCCAATAACATTTCGCAAAAAATACTATATAAGCCGAAAACATGTCTATCACTTTACTATGTCTTGTCAAAGGAAATACGACCGCTAGTGCTTTTCCTGTCGATATTAATAAGGACCAGCTTGTAGGCTACCTCAAGAAAGTTATTAAGGCAGAAAAGCAAAATGACTTCGCTGGAATAGACACAGACAAGCTCAAGCTATGGAATGTGTCGATATCTGACGATCAGAACGATCTCTTAAACAATCTCACACTCAATGACGGGGACGAGCTCCTTGCAACAAGAAAGATTTTGAAATACTTTCCAGACTCACCTCTCGAAGAACATATTCATGTTATTGTAAAATTGCCACGTAAGTGTCTGGAGTGTCTGGTATAGTCTAATTTTTCGTCATTTGCCCTTGTAATATTAACACGCATTCGTTTTCAGTTCTCAGCTTAGAAGAGGCTTTGTTGTGTATTCCACCACCCATAACATATTCTCCGGACTGTACTAAATCGAAGACCACTACAAAGGTTAATGGTGGCCCACTGACGAGTGTACAACTATGGGACGACTTTTTTGATAAAGTGAATCAATTCCGCTTCGACCAACAACCGATATTAGAGAGGCCAAAATTTGTGGTGAAAGAGATAGAAAATGAAGAGGATGTTCGAAGTGTTTTAGATTTCAATATTTGTCAGACATTGAATTATCTTTTGGGATCTGATCATAAATTTTCAAGATGTTCACCTGATACTCCTGGCATACCGGATTTCACCTGTCATCTTGTGGGTTCGTTGATCTTGGTGATTGAGGCAAAAAGAAAGCATGTTTTAGAAGATATGGGCGAAGAAATATTTCCCGAGTTTTATCAGACGAGTAAAGGCAAGGATGTACAGTCAACTCTCTATAAATGCACCACCCATAAATGCACACCCTCTCTAAATGCACACATTTGCTTAGTCCCAAGTTTGGGACTTAGTGCTAAATACATACCCTTTATATATACACCGTGCAATGATTTTAAAAGTCCCACCTATATCAGTAATAATCTCCCTAAATGCATTCACGTGACTTTTAGATGATTTTCACGTGATGTACTGCGGTTTTTATAGACACGTTACTGTGGGAATTTCATCTTTTTTTGACGGAAAATAAGTCAACATGCTTCCTAAAACTCCCAAAAAAAAGTCACTTTAACAGACTCTCAAAAATATGAACTTTGTCTTTATGCTAGTAATAATAAAAAAACTCGAGTTCAGTATATAGACTGGGTTGAAGAAAAGTGGGGAGTTAGAGTTGACAAAACTACTATAACACGAATCTTATAAACTAAAGAAAAGCGGCTTATCACTGAAGTCATTTACCCAGAGCAAAAACGGCACAAACCTGTTACCTTTCCAGAACTTGAGCTTGCTCTCAAGGAGTTTGTGTTAAATTATCAGCACCGAACAATCCTAAGTGATGCGATACTAGTTGAAAAGGCCAAGTTACTGGCAAATGGGTTGGGAGTTCCTGAAAATATGTTACAATTTTCTTCCGGTTGGCTTCAAGGATTTAAAAAACGTAATGGAATCCGTCAAGAAAAGCTTCAAGGAGAAACAGCATCAGCTAATGAAACTGCTATTATGGAAGCCTTACCATTATTACATAATAAGTGTGTCAATTACCCTCTTGAACGTATCTATAATATGGATGAAACTGGGCTTTTTTACCAGTATATTTAATTTTTTTTATTATCTAAGGTGGTAGCTTGAACAGAATCCAAATATGACTATAATTATTTATTTAATTTTTTTATTGTTTTGCAGATTAGAACCAGATCAAACACTAGCTACAAAACGTCTTTCTGGATGAAAGAAAGCAAAGAACGCCTTTCTATAGCTTTGTGTTCAAATGCTGATGGATCACATAAATTACCTCCTTTAATAATCGGCAAATATGCAAATCCAAGGTGCTTTAAAAATATCAATATTTACAACTTACCCATGACATACCGAAATAATGCTAAAGCTTGGATGCTCATAACAATTTTTCAAGAATGGCTTCATGAATTTGATCATCAAGTTGCATTAAAACATGGAGGTCAACGCGTTTTGTTGTTACTTGATAATTGTACAAGTCACAAGGTGGAAAATCTTGCCCTTCTGCATGTTGAAATTCAATTTTTACCTCCAAACACAACATCAAAGATTCAGCCAATGGATGCTAGAATCATCATGTCATTTAAAAAACATTATCGTCATCATCATATCCGGTAAGTAACTAACTATATTTATATTTTATTTTACTGAATAATTTATTATTTTATTTAGTTGGTTGTTAGAACAAGTTGAGGCTGGACAAAACATACAGGATCTAAAGATAGATATTTTGCAAGCCATTCGGTATATCATTCCAAGTTGGAATGAAGTTACAGTTGAAACAATCTGAAACTGCTGGAATCAAACCAGGATTCTTCCTGATAACGAATATGATGAAACTGATAATGAAGACGATGATCAGATGATTGATGAACTTTCTAGAACAATTCAAGCCCTTAATCTTCCTAATGTAATGCGAGTAAAGGAATTTCTTAATATTCCTGAAGAAGATATTACATATGAAATTTTTGAAGATGATCAAATCATTATGGAACTTATATACATTTTTAAAAATTCTTACGAAAATACTGAAGATTTGGATTAAATATATGATATTGACGAGATAGTAACTATAAGCACTAATATAGCATTAAAAAGCTTAGAAACTGTGAATATGTTCTTACTTCAACAAGAAAATACTGAAGAATATATCAAATTAATAGGTAAAATTGAAAAATTTATTAGAAAAAAATAGGTACATATGATGCAGCAGACTACAATTGATCAGTATTTTAATTAATAACTGTATTATTAATTATAATAAATGCTAAATAATTAAATTGAATAATAAATAATGTTAACATATAATATAATGCATTTTTTCTGATTTTTAGTGTTTCTGTAATGTAAAATCTAAAAAAAAAATTTTTTTTTATAAATGCACACCCTTTATAAGTGCACGCTTATAGCTGGTCCCAAGGGGTGCATTTATAGAGAGTTGACTGTAGTTCAACAAATTTATAATTATATGGGAGAAAACGAACTTAGATACGATATTCTTACTACCTACGATAATCACTGGTTTCTATGCTGAGAACACACGAAGCTCTGGATCTCAAAAACCCTTTCACTAGAATCCGAATCTCCACCCGTACTCAAGGCATATGCTTATCTAACTCGACAGGCGAAAGAGAATCCCAACTCTCCTAAACTTCAAGTACTAGTGCCAGCTCAAGGGGACAATGATTCACATACTCTTCAATCAAACTCAAAATTATCATCCAGCTCTTCATTAACTAATCAGGCTTCCAGCACCTTTTCGAATCAACAATCATCTTCTAACGTCCCAGTAAATTAGCAAAAGTTTAGCTTTGCAGACTTCAAGTTTAAGAGCATACTAAGTGGAAAAACGCTCCTATGCGAATTTCATGGTGAAATGATTGCTTTGAAGAGTGTAGACTTATCGAAGGCTCCATCGTATGTCCTGGAAGAAATGCAAAAAGAAGTCGAGATTTATAAAGATCTAGCTGATATTCAAGGCAAGTATATCCCAAAGCTGATCTGTTATGGATATTATGGAAGAGGTATGAGCTTCGTTATCGGCATGACCATTGTCAGCACTTCGTTGAGCGAGCAAAAAATAAAGAAACGGCAAAAGACAAGGGCTATTAAGGGATTAGAAGCGATCCACAAGCATGGCATCCTCCACAATGACATTCGGTAGGAAAACATCTTAATTAATGATGATGGTGGCGTCTATCTGATTGACTTCGGTATGGCAAGTCGGGAGGACACAAAAAAGAAGAGAAAGCTTTTCGAGGAGGAACAGCTCAAATACTCTAACTTGCTAGATAGATATAATACGTAAGATTTATTATTTCACAAATTCCTATTTCTTGCAATCTTGCGAAGCGCCTTAACGGCTAATTTCTTATAATTAATAATCATGTATTTTACAGACATTTTGTAAAGAAGGAGGGGCGAATTTCCAAGTCACGTAAATGTCAGGTGGTTAGTTAGACTGTAGGATTAGCTATAGCATAGACGCCATGTATCTCGGGCAAAGTCCTGAACCTTTGTATTTATTTTTTTGCATGTAATAATAAAAAAATTTCTTGGCAAAACCGTGAACAATGTTCACGATCAGCCAAAATGGCCTACATATTTTTATTTTAAATGTTTATATACAGTGTATTAGTTATATATAGATCATGTCATCTGAGCTTGAATTATCGAAACAGCGTATCACTGAACTTGAGGCTGAGAATTCCGGTCTTAGAATCAAGCTCTCAGTGTCTGATGCTGAAATAGCTGAACTTAAGCACAGTAATATCGAGTTTCTAAGAGCGAATAAGGAATATAACGAGAGGCGTGATGCTGAGAATGCCAAACTCAAGGCCAGAATCGAGGAGATGGAATCTGAGTTTGAAGATAGAATCACGAAAGTGGAACAGAAGCAGACTCTGCAAAGCGCCTTAACGGCAAATTATAATTCTTCTAACAACAGTTCATCTAATTTCAATTTGGTTGTAGATCAGGTGCTAATGGTAACGCATCACAAGAAACCATTGGTGGATACTTCATTACCTGAAGACAAGGAAACAGATGCTTTCTTGGGTGAGGTGCATAAGAAAAAGGTTAGTAATGAGATTAGGCAGAGAAATCAGGAAAAAAAACTTTACTTTAGCGCCTCCGGCCAAACCCAAAAGTCTCTTCCAATAGGGTCCCAAAGGGATCAGAGGCCTCAAGTTCTTGACTCGATTACTCAGCCATGCAATAGCGCATCATCAGAAGTATCAGCTAATTCAGATGGCGGGGAAGTACCTCCAAAATAGTGTTCCAATCCGTCAATCCCCCATCCGTATCCGTCGTCGAATATTCGTCATTTTCGGATATCCGTCATTTCGGATATCCGTACATACGGATAGGACGGATCACGGATATCCGTGATAGATTGACGGATCCCATCCGATCCCATCCGAATTAAACGGATCATCTGGATAATCCGATTTTTACTACATAATTCTGGTCAAATCTGTAATGCTGGCCAGAATGATAAAAAAATTTTTTTTTCAACTTTGTGTTACACAAATGTTACACAACATAATTCGGGCTAGCACTATGAATTCGGCCCAATTTAAAATTCAACGGATATCCGAGGTTATCCTTCACGGATATCCGTCATGTCGGATATCCGTACATACGGATAAGACGGATCACGGATATCCGAAAGTGGCGGATGACGGATGACGGATTATCCGCGGATTGTAACACTACTCCAAAAGAGAAGATAGGTAGTGAACTGGATTCAAAGTGCAAGAAGGGAAGAATGTGAACAAGCTTAAGCAAGAATTATTTGCTTCGGAGTTGTATTCACAAGAGCCATTAATAGAACAAAATCATGTGACCGAAATTTCTGAGACATTATGTCCCAGAAAAATTACCTCTGATAAATCCAGCATTGATGAGGCCTCACAATATCTAGCTCAGTTATGCGATAAAGCTTTTGATGCTGAAGATAAAACCAATCGAGCTAATCAGGAAGAAATTTTATGCTGGTGCCTCTATGCGAAAGATTTCATAATTCAGCTCAATGAAATTATAGAAAGTAGGGGAGGTAAATTCGGTGAAAAGAAGGCAAGAGGCTTACTGTATGATTCCATTACAAAACAGCTTAATTTGCTTCGTAAATAGAGATCCCAAGAAACGGGGTTACAACTTCGAGATGTATCATGAGATAGTTTGCGCAAAAAAATCCAGAGAGCCGAGAAAGTCTATAAATTTATCGAACAAGTGGGGCTAGATAAAATCAAGTATATTAAATCTTATAGTGCGACTTCTATTTCAGAGCTTACTAATGAGCAAATTCAAAAGGTTATAGATTATGGAGTATCTTCAGAAAAAATATCTCTAGTAACTGATCATGTAACTAAAATTTCTGAGACATTATGTCCCAGAAAAAATTTGTCTGAAAATACTCCCGATCAGAATAATGTATTGGAAGTCTTGTCTTCAAAGGAATCAACTGCACTTATTTCATTAGCCCATCCCTCTAATTCATCTGATAATTCCAAGGAAAAGGAGGGTTCGTGATTTGATGAAAATATGTTTTTCAATGAGGCGAATCCCACTAAAGTGAACATCACCACTTCAGACGATGATGACTCTGATCCCAATGATTCTGAAAAAGAGATGCCAGACGATTCAAATGATGATGGATATAATGATTACGGTGGATATAATGAATATAGTGAACGTGATAGAGGTTATTACTACTGTGGCGGAAGATATAAAAGAAAAACCTCCCCAACGATGAGCCCTATCATCTCTCTGGTAACCGCCTAAGAGAATTATTGGATGAATTGCATATTCGTATAGGCTAGATTGTTTTATAGTTTCTTTCTTTTTTTGAATCACGTGGGTGGCTTATATATCAGCATTGCGCAGTAATACGTCATCTCTATACTTCACTACGCAGACGCTTTGCAACTGTTTCCGCAGTGATTTTATTTTTAAATCCAGATGTGTTATTTTCGTAATAATAGCCGATCAACAGAGTGCTATTTTTGTAACAATGAAGCCAGGCCAAGATGCCGTCAGATATTTTGCAAATCTTTGGGGTCAGATCGTGGTGTCAGATCAATAATTAATCTGGTAGTGATATTCACTTTTTTTCCAAAATGTTCTGGCATAATCTCCATTTGTGGATTGATTTGAATCAGCCATTTGCAGATCTACATTATTTAATTAGCTTATTAATGATGGGATGGATAAACACCACCTTTCTTCATTAGTATAATTTTTGACAACACCTGAAGCCGTAATTCATAAGATTTCGATTTAACATAATTATTAATCTGCTATTAAGGCGCTTTGCTAGGCGCTTCACAGATCTCTGGACAAACGGTACATTTTTATTTAACATATTGGGATTAGTACGATGACAAAATAAGGGGTCCAGGTACATAATTACTTGTAAATAGATATTATTGGTTTGAAGTCTGATTGAACTCTGGTTGAAGTCGGGTTGAGACTGCGCTTCAGAAAGTAAACTCTCATTAACCACACTTTTTTCTCATATTTATTCGAGAGTAGAAAAGGTACCAGGGCAAACAAGTTTGATATGTTATCTTCCGCAGATTGATAGGTAAAGGAAGCTACAAATAGTGGAACAAAAACGAAAAATGTGAAGTCTGGTTGAACTCAGGTTGAACTATAGTTGATGTACAGTTGATGTGCAGTTGATCTCCAGTTATACCAAATGAAAACCCCCTTTTATATAACAATGATCTGCTGAAAGCGCTAAAGGCAGACTATATAAACAACCTATGATTCATGCTCACGTCCAACACCCCATCTCAAAAAAAATTCTGTTGTTGAAAAATGGCTGAATGGACTGATCCACAAATTCGTACTCTTATTGACGAATGTAGAACCAGAAACGATGAGTTTCATAACCTTAGAAGAAATCGGAAAATCTTCTGGAATAGTATTGCTGATAAAATCAATCAAAAGAATGGGACATCATTCAACGGCCACCAATGTAAAGAAAAATTCTCAAATCTTGTCCAGGATTATAATGTAAGTTATCACTGTATTGAGAACTATGTGGTGGATAAATCCACCTGTCCCCTCCTGTATGTGGTCACTACGTGTCCAGTTCTAATATTGATCATATTATTGTTAGGCTATGTGTGATTTTATGTCTGGTCGTAAATCTAGTAGAAGTCGGCTGGGTGTATAATATTTTGATGAATTTCGTACATATTTTTGGGAGAGACCTGAAGATGAATTCGATAGGGTCCGCAGTATTAATACTTTTAACTGAAGATGAAGTAGAGGAAGTGGAAATATTATGCCTGTACCGTCTACCAGAGAAGTTGAACGCGAATTGAAATCCTCTAAAAGACGATTAAGTCGAAGTTCATCTATTAGTCGAAGTCAATCACCATCTATTGGACGAAGAAGTCGAAAATAATCGCCACCCGTTAAACGAAGACACTCAGCAATTCCGCCTATTAGCTCATTAACCACCAACGATGAAATGGATATTTCTGATACAGAGCAGTTAGTTGGCCAGAGAAGAACTTCCACGCATGAAGAACTGTCCTTATCACTTTATCTACCACCATTTTATGATATTGCCACTGCTCAAGAATCATCAAATGTGAGGGGTAATATACAATAACTACATTAGCCAGAGGGGTTCTTTGAACCAGGTGCTTTGCTAGGCTCTTCCGCACACCACTGTTATTGTTTCATTAATCAGTGCATTTTTTCTATACTGTGCTATTATACCATGAATGTACTTTGAAAAATATAATAAAGAGCTTTACTTTGATTTTTTAAGAGTGTTATGTGCGTCGTGAGTGTTTCGTGCCTCCTTGATCTTTGAGATAACATAAATACTCTCGAATAAGACTATATTCATTAAAAGCGCGTTTAATAGTAGCTTAAATCTGATTGGCCAACCAACCATCTCGTGATTTATCGAAACCCTAGAACTATTGAGGGAGCTGGTGGAGATGTCATGTGATACGATATACAGTACATCATGCCACAAACTGATTTAGCCGAACACAGGTCAAAATCGAGGCTATCGGTTGCATATCGAGTACCAGATATATGTAGGATATGTATATGATATGTATACGATATGCAACAATTACACACATATCGGGTACCTGATATCTGTAATGTTTATGCAGAAGTTCTGTTATATATATTATAGATATTTTGCACATATTACACATATATCGGGTAGTATAATATCGGGCACATATCTTATACATGTCGTATAAATATCATATAGATATTGGTCAGTATAATATCGGACACATGTTATATAGATATCGGGTAAATATAGGATACATATCGTACATTTATCTGACAATACGATAGATAATTTTTTCATATAATATTATAATTTAATCTGGGCAAAATTATAATTTCAGATTAATTTTTAATTTTAATTCGGGCTAAAGTAAAATTTTATTACACAAATTTTATTCTTATTTTCAATTAAATTAAAAGTTTTATTGTTTTTTAATTAATAATAAAAAAGATTACAAAAAAATATATTATTCTATATAGCTATATAAATAATTAGATATCTGTTATCTACAAATAGCGCTTATTTTTATCTGTTTAATATTTAAAAGAAAGAAATAGTATTTTAGTAATAAAGATATTAGTATGAATAATGTATTCGTAAATGAAAAAGAATAGTATTAAAAAAATGTTAGTAAAAAATGGTTAGTAATAGAAAATGTTATTAGTATGTTTAGTAGTAAAATATATTAGTAAAAACAAACGTTATTAGGTTAGAAAAAAAGAAAAGAAGTGTATAATATAAATAAAAATTAGTAAAAAATATACCTTTGTATTTATTTCACCTCTTTTTTGAAGTTTGCTGTTTAAAGAGAAAATAGATCTTGTTAATTATTTTTCTTTAATAAATAAAAAAAATAAATATTTAAATTACCTTGATGTTCGTTACTCTCATATTCTTCTGAAGATATATGATTAGATCTTCTTTTTCTTGAGTTTACTATATATAAACCAAATTAATTTTTGATTAAATTTTTTTAAAAA